TTCTAACAGGTGACATTTCTTTTGCAAAAAGGTGCAAATCCAAATGAAAAAGCAAATTGTGATACTACTGCATTACATTTAGCAGCTGAACGTGGATATACTAATATAGTATCTGTATTATTAAAATATGGAACAAATATGACAAAAGATACTAATGGAATGACACCATTGACAGTAGCAGCTGAACGGACTAGAGCTGAAGTTGTAGAATATATAATAAAAAATGTGAAACTTACTAAAGAAGAAACAATTGAAGCTTATGAACTTCTTGGCGCTTCTTATGCTAATGATGAACGCAATTATTGTTTAATATTAGCATATAAATATTTATGGAAAGCAATGAAATATAGGTAAAAAGTACTTATAATTTTATAAAGTGTTTAAAATCAATTAACTAATTCTTAGATGTTATAGATTTAAAGATCGACGAAATATTATTTATAAAAAATTAGGCGAAGGTATAAAAGCATATGATAATTGGAAAGAGTGCGAGACTCCAGAAAAATTGAGAAGTATTAGAAATAATCAATATTATATGCATATGGAATCATTGACTATACGAGAAAGGATATTAGGTTCGAATTTTATTCTAATAAATAATGATTAGGATAAATAAGTAGTATATATACATAAAAAAGTTTTTTATTTTTTTTTATTTTAATCATTTTATCTTAAACTATTTCAATATTAGGACAACATAATCCAAAACTACCACAACATATTGTATTTAGAGGAGCAGTTTTTGCAGATAGTGCTAGATTTGATAAATGTATAGATCTCTGGCTTCATGCATTATACTTGAAACAGTTAAATAATATGTCAGTTATAAAAGATCTTTTAAGGTTTGCACAGGTATTTTAAATCTTTAGTTATCAAATAATTAAAAAAAACTTATTATTTTTTTATATTATTTCTTTTTCTACTTTATATCTTTTTGTAGGTATTTTCACAAATGATAGATATAGAAGTATATCTTGATCTCTCTCATGTATTGAATGTTCTAGAAGCCTGTGTAATAGAACTTACTCGTAATAAAGCTAAAGTTAATAATCCTGGTTCTGAGGAAGATATTGAACAACATATTGTAAATTAAAAAATTGATTTATGTGTTGAATTAACAATTATGAAATAGCTTTTACAAAATAAAAATTGCAGGAGGAGATTGAATCAAATATTACAACTACATTGTATATAGTAACAATATTAACAAAACTTTTAACATTAAATGAAAACAAATATGAAGAACAAGATAAAAATAAGGCATATCAATTAGTTCATAAACTTTGTGTTCTACGATTACGTTTAAAAGATGGTCAAACATTATTACATCTTGCTGTAAATGCGGCTACTGTTGTAGATGATTTTCATACTAATTATGTTTGCAAGTAAGTTTATAAATATAAATATTTATATTTAACTAATTATAATTAATTTATAAATATTTATAAATATATTTATAAGTTTATAAGATAAATTTTTTTTGTTACATTTGATAATATATATCATTAATATCGATAAACATATTTATTATGTATTATCGTTTTAATATTCCAATAAACTTGAAATATATTATTAAAGATATCATCTTAAACAATTTTTATTTTATACATAACAATTTAGTTTTGAAATTATATGCAAAAATATTTTTCATATGTTTCATATATTCTGATACAACTGTTTCCAACTTATATCAATTTATTAAAAAATAATATTTTATATTTTTATTTTTTGCATAAATATCTGAAATGAATTTTTTTACAGATTCCCTTGTGCTGCAACAGCTAAATTATTTATATCTTGTGGTGCTGATGTAAATGCAATGGATAATGAAAGAAATACACCATTACATATTATTGTTAGCTATAGGGAACCTATTAGGTATAATTTTATTAAATAAATTAAATTTCTATAGTTAGATATAGATATGTATTTATTTTGTATCTGAGAACGAAAGTGACTCGTTTTTTCATCATTTATATAATAGAATAGAAAAACAAAATTATGATCATATATTAGCAACATTAAACTTAAAATTTTTCATACTAATAAATTTTCAATTTTGATAAAATAAAAAAAAAAACATTAAAATTAAAAAAAGTGAATTTAAATTCATTTAGTTCTCAAATATAATATTACAATATTATTTTTTATAATTTCATATTATTTTCTATTATATCATACTTGAAATTTTACAGCGATTTTATGACTCTTCATTCCATTATTATGGCACTTATAGAAGCTGGAGCTCATATGGACATAGTAAATAGCAATGGAAAAACTCCATATGATGCTGTCACTACAGGTTTTTTCAAATAAATTTAAAAATATAATATAAATTATATAAATTTATATTAAAAAATTAAAATTTATATTAAAAAAAATAAAATTAAAATTTTTTTAATTGTAACAATTGATTTTATAAATCTATGTAATATTAATGAATGTAATATAATTTATTTATTTTGTTAAATATTTTAAATTATTAAATTTAATATAATTATATAATCAATTTTATTTTCATATAGGTGTAGCAGAAATAATATTAAGGACTCAAACAAAATTATCCTTAAAATGTATGGCTGCAAAAGCAATAAATGCTTATAATTTATCATATTGTGGAAATGTACCACGTTCTTTGGAAAGTTTTATTGAACTTCATGGATCCGGCCCTAATCGAGGTTAAAAGCAATTATTAAATGAAGCAGTAATAGATATATTACATAGATATTTATATTAAATATAACCAATTAAAATTATTTATTCTTGACGCGTGAGCTTTTTGAGAGTGTAATGCACGAAATTTTTAAAATTGTTTAATAATTTCTTATTTGATTAATAAGATTTTTTATTAATAAAACAATTATATAAAAACAATTCTTACATTAACTACATGCAGGTAACGAATTTAAAATAAGAAAAATATTACAAGTTTTTGATAGATAAAACCAAACAAAATTAATTATTGATTTTAATTATTTAACAATTTCTTAAATCAAAGAAAATCTACAGATATGAATGATCTTTTAATTATTAGACAGAAAAAAATTAACAATTATTAATTAGATTATTTAATACCAAATTTTTATTATATACATTATAAATATATTATATCTTTCAAAAATTTTTTTTTCACATAATAGTATTATTAATTAATAATTAAAAAAGAAATACACATTTATAATGTACATACGTGATTTATACATAAAATAAATATATAATAAATTATACATAAAATACAGCATTGTTCCAAAAAAAGTAACAGTCATCTAAAGAATATTACTATCTTTATTTCTTTTTTTAAAATCGCCCGCAAAATGAAAAAATGAGAGATCTATAAAAGCGAAAAGCTATAAATCTTTACATTATTTAGAATTATTTAATAATAGAACAAATTTTTATAATTCTTTTTTAAAAAATAATGTTGTTATTGATAAACTATTTTACGATTTGTCGTTATTACTCATTTTTCATGTTTTTTCTCATTTCTTTGAGTTAAAATAATAATTTTGAGTGATATGCTTTTTTTGGAACAATATTGTAATATTAAATCTACATTACAAATTGTAATTAAATGTATATATGATATGAATGAATAATGTATAATCATGTACATATATATAGGTATGTATATATATTAATAAATGTATGTATGTGTGTATGTATGATATTAATAAATGATATGATATTAATATAATAAATATATAGTACTCATAAGTTGTTCAAAATAATCGCAATTGATAATTGCCAACCAATAACAAAAATAGAAAAGATTTTTGTAATGTTTTTTGTAATTTTTCATGTATTTCATCAATAATATATTATTTTCTAGTAGATCTTTTGTATAATTCTTTTTTTTTTATAATATAAGAATTTCAGAATAATTAGGTGTGATCTTGAATTATATTTTTCAACATTCAAAATATGTATATATTTATATAAGTTTTAATTATGGACAGATCTTGCTAAATATATTACATATTAATTTAAATAAAATTAGATTATTATGATTTAAATTCAAATACATAAAAAAGAAATTATAATATACAAGAAAAGGACTCTGATTTTATAATAAAATCACATTTATTGTGCATGCAAAGATTCTTCCATAGACATGTTGCTAAAATTTTCATATATTCTCGAAATCACTTTATTTATTCATTACTTGTTTATGTTTAAAAAATATTTAGTAAAATCTCATAAAATGTAATTCAATTAAGAGATCAAAATTTCCTTTTACTCCCATTATAATTCTATTAGAATTGAAATAAAATTAATACATGATAAAATAAAAATTAATATAAATAAAATATAAATAAAAACTCGTCTATAAATAAAATAAAATTTAATCAAATCAAATTTTTTTTATCATTGGATATAAATATTATTTTGTTAATTTATTAATACTAAAATTATAAATACTAATAAAGATTAAGAAATTAAAATGATTATTGTTGAAAGAATGTAAAGTGAGTGTTTTTAAAATTGATTGAAATTATAAAATTTAGATTTTGAAAATTAAATTGTAAAATTTATTATTTATAATCTCAAAATTAAAGCTATTTATTTGTTTGTTAAATTATAATTATTTTTTTAATTTATTATTTAATTGAAATGTTAAAAAGAATAAATTTAAATTATTATATTATACATTTAGTGTAGAGTTATTATATTTTTAAAATTATTTTTTCAAATTACATCATTAAGAACGAAATAATTATTCATGAATAACAATTTAATCTTTAAGTAAAAATGATTATGAAATAATATAAAATATGATTGAAATCCAGAGAATTTATAATACTAGAGATTTAGAATACTAAAATTTAATGTAGTATTGATGAGTACATTTTATTTTGTTAGCCAATAATAGTTAGCAAGAGTCAATAGAAGCAACTTTTGAATGAGGTATAAAATTAAAATAAAAAAGATATTTTTGTGAATAAGTAAAAAAGTTTTTTTCATTTAAATTTTAAATTTTATTAATAAAATTATTTTTTTTAATAATGATTGCATGTAATTCTCAACAAATAATTTCCATTAATAAATCCAAAGAGGTTAATATTATTTATTATTCCTTTAATTATATAATATATATTGATATACATGTAATATAACATTGATATTATATGTGAGAATTAAATTAATGTATAATAAAAAAATAAAAAATCTATTTTAAAAATTATTGATTATCTGCATTAATATTAATTTTTTAATTTGATTAGTGTAATTAGTTAATATTTAATAATATTTATTATAAAGTATAATTAATGTTATAATGCATACTTAACCTATTTTAAATTATAATAAATTCAATTATATTTATAAATATAAATTTATAAGTAGTTTAATATAAATTGCAAATATTTCAATAGGAAGAATCGCAAAACAAAATTTTTACAAAAGAAGAAGTTGATATATCCAAATTTCCAATAATTGAATTTAAAGGATATGTTAATTGTGTCAGTGGTTTTAATGATTGTGCTATGATTTGTGATGATATTATGTAAGATTTATATCAAATTATTTTAAAATTAATATGAAATATATAATATAAAAAACAAAATATTAATATGCTTTGAACATTTTACTATAATTTATTTAGAAAAGAAGTAGAAAATTCTGATCATAAAGAAATAATAATAGGATTTGATTTGGAATGGCCTTTTAATTTTCATACAGGAAGTGGAAAAACAGCCTTAGCACAAATTTGTTTTAATGAAACTATTTGTTATTTATTACATATATATTCATTAAAGAAACTACCTGCAGCATTTGTAGTTTTTTTAAGTCATCCAAAAGTAAGATTAGTTGGAGTGAACATAAAAAAGTATGCTAATTATAATAAAGCATTATTATAATACAAATTATGTAACAAAATTTTTCATAATTTATCTTTTTACAGTGATATTTGGAAATTAGGCAGAGATTTTAAAGAATTTCCTGCTTCTAAAATTATTGAAAATAATTGTATTGATAGTGGTAAATTTGCAAATGAAATATTAAATAGATCTTGTCGATGGAGTTTAGAAAAATTAACAGCATATTTGGTTAGTTTATTATATACATCTTAAATTTTTAATCCAATATTCTAATATTCTTTATTATTATGGAAAATAATAAATATGAAATGGAGTTAATATTTATTATCTTTTTATTTATTTACAATTTATTTATATTATTATATTATATATTTATATTATTAAATTAGGATTTCTGATTTATTAACAATTTAATTTTTTTTTTGATTTTAGTTAAAAAGAAAACTCAATAAAAATCCAAAAGTAAGAAAAAGTAAATGGCATTTATATCCTTTAAGTAATGAACAAAAAGTATATGCTGCAACAGATGCTTATGTATATTTTTCACTATTATTATTAATATTATCATTTTCAATTTCTAATTTTAATATTAAATATATTTATATTTTTTTTTAGGTTTCCTGGCTCTTACATACAATTATACAAAAACAGGCAGATATTAAAAAAAATGTGATATAAAATGTTCAAATTAAATATTAAAATTATGTATAATAGTAAAAAAAATTAAATTTTGAAAAAATATATAATACAATATATTATCTCATTATGTCTACAAAAATAATCAAAGTTTTGTGGACAGGTAGATTAAGTTATAATTCTGGCCTTAAATTACAAAAAATATTGTCTGATCGACATCATCAGAAATTAAAAAATGAGAATTGTAATACATTAATATTGATTGAACATAATCCAGTATTTACAGTAGGAATCAGAGATAAAATCTATACAATAGAAGATGAAGAGAAATTAAAAAATTTAGGTGCAGAATTTTTTAGAACAAATCGAGGTGGTCTTATAACTTTTCATGGACCTGGACAATTAGTAGCATATCCCATATTAAATTTAAAGGAATTTAAGAATGGCATTAAATGGTATGTTTGTCAAATAGAAAATATGATTATTCGTTTATGTGCAAAATATGGTATTAAAGGTGAAAAATCTTCTGACACTGGTATATGGATAAATGATAAAAAAATCTGTGCTATTGGTATTCATGGATGTCGTTATATAACAACACATGGTTTAGCTTTAAATTGTAATACAGATTTAAATTGGTTTAATCATATTGTTCCCTGTGGTATTGAGGGAAAAGGTGTAACAAGTATTAGTCAAGAACTTAATACAAATGTTACTATTCAAGATGTATTACCTTTATTTCAAAATGTTTTTCAAGATCAGTTTGAATGTACATTAATTGAATATTCAGTTGAAGAATCTTCTCAATTACTTAAACTTGTCAATAATAGTATATATTAATATAATATTTATTTTCAAAAATAATAAATAATGATTTGAAATATATTAAAACATAAATAATTTTGATCACAAAAATATTTAACCATTTGAAAATTACACTTTCTTTTTCATAAAATGCATTATATTTTATACATTTTATTATGCATTCTCTTTATTAATACACACACACACATATATGTAAAATATAAAAGAGAATGCTTTATGATTAATTATATAATATTTTTGTAAGTATCATTTATATTTTACATAAGTATTTATATAATGAAATATAGTATTTTTGAAAAATAATAGATATAAATAATAAATGATTCAAATTTAATCATAATTGCCAGATATAGAAAAAATTAGAAAAGATTGTTTTCTTTGTTTTAAATTTTTTAGTTAAATTTAAATTATGATGTTTTGCAATTAACTTATTTTTTTGATTGTTTTTTTATTTTTTTGATTGATGTGTGGCCAATATTTATAGCTGAAAAATATGTAATCAATCCTCATAATTTGATTAATTCATTTTGTATTTTATTGAAATGCATATAAACTTTAAAAGTTAATAATTTAACATTGATGATTATTTATGAGAAATAGATAGATAATATTTTGAATATATCTCAATATAGGTTATAAGAATATGTAATAAAAAACAACATTTATAAATTTGACTTTTTTCAGGCATTATCTCAAATAATTATTATCATATGTTTCCTATAAAACTATACAATTTTTACTTGAAATATTTTTGCTATTTATAGAAATAATTGTATGATATTATATTTAAATTCGTTCGATATTTTTCACACGCAATGTATAAAATATGCGATAAACAAAATAATTTCTTTAATTTCTTTGGGGAAAGAATGATTCTTTCTGTCAAAATTATTTCTTTTATTCTGACTGTAGAACTACGATGCTTTTTGATTTTGATACAATCTATATCATTTATATACAATTAAACAAAATTGCATTTATTATATATTATTACTATATTATAAAAGTTTTCATTATTTTTAAATAATTTTTATTTTCTTGTTTGTAAGATATTTTACAATTAGAAAAAAATAAAATAAATAATTTTTTTAAATCGACTTTTTTGAATTCTATTCATAAATGTCTCTTTATTTAATAATTTAGTATTCAAAATTTTTTAATTTTCTTTGCAATTCTAATTATTAGATAAGTCTAATTATTAGATAAAATTTTTTGCTATATGTAGCAATAATTATTTTGCAATTAAAAAAAATTAAATTTTTTTTTCATATTAAATATTTATCTTAAATAACATAAATATATCTTATGTGTGATTATAGAATATTCCGAACATTCCCAATTCAAGAAAGTCTATATCTTTTATATATTTTCATTAAATTCTTTAAATATTTTAGAAGAATCCTATTTGCAAAATGTTATAAGGACATATTGATATATTATATTGATATTATACATATTGATATATACATATTGATATTATGCTTTTAATTATATACAACATCTATAGGCAATGAGATATTTTCTCTATGCATACAGTACTTAAAGACCCGATGCTCATTTGATTAAAAAAGTTTTAAAATTTGCTCAATTTCATTTATAACTGATAAAAAAAAATTCTTTTATAACTGATAGAAAAAAATATTCAGTAATAAATTTAAATCTATTTTTTATATATAATCTACTTCGTTTCATTATAAATATTTTGTTTATGCAAAGTATAAAAAACGAAATAAAATATTTTCAATGCATAAATTACAATTGTTGGATTATTTATTAAATCATGCTGTCAATTATTATACAAAAAAAGAGTATTAAATTTTCGTTAATATATTCAATTTTCTCATTCTATTTTACATTCTTCTTTTCATTCTTACATTTTTTATGTTTGTAATTTACTTTTTTAATGAATATAATCCATATACGTACTATATAAGTAACACTATATAATATAATACATAAATAATACTATATAATATAATATACAGTAATAATACATAATATACTAATATATATTATATACTATAATCATTTCCTTTAGATTAAATTAAAGAAAATTTTAAAATATAATATATTTATATAAATATAAATGTATTTAAAATTGAAAATTGTATGAAAATATGAAAAATGATGAGATCATTCATTGTTTTTTCCATTTAGTAATGATATCAATATATATTTGATTAGTTGTTATGAAATACATACATTTCCGGTCACAAAAAGACAAAATCAAAAAACAGTCGATAGGTTGCAATGAAAGTCACTAGATATAATTAGAAAATAATAGAAAAAGAATCTTTAAGATTAATGGTGAGAGATGCATCTTTTAGCAATATAATGCAACGAAGAGATATCGATATATTACATTTCTGTTTCTAAATAATTTGTGAATATTTATAAAGTGAAATTTTTGCTGATTTTTTTTTAGTGATTAATTTTTTTATAATTTTATATTATGTTTTAGTGAATTTAAAAAATTGTAAATATAATCTAAATTCAGGTAAAGTAAATGTTTAATATTTTTGCATGAATAATTTAAAAAATTATCATTTATTGAAAAATAGAAAATGGAATGAATGAAAGAAATATTTTTTTTTTTATTATATATAATATATTTTTATTATGTATGAATATGTTCATTAGATTTGGAAATAAACTTATGAACTAATAATAAATAGATAATAATAGCTACATGATTCTCTATTTTAAAGAAAATGTTTAAAAAGCAGATTATAGATAGATAGCATTATCTTAAATTAAGTATTATATTAAAATACTTAATTTTGAATTATTGCAAAAGAATAAAGATATTAGATTCATAAAATTTATTACAAAATATATCATAATTTTTGCATCTAATAAAAATTCATTGGAAAAGTATACCTCTTTTTTTCTTTATCTCTCTATAAATTAAATGTTTGAAAAAGAAGAAGAAAAAAATGATAAAAAGAGTTGCATTCTAATCATACAATAAAAAAGAAATAAAATATTAATGTTATTGAGTAAAGTTGAAATTTTCATTTATATAATCATTTTGATAGAATAAATAATATTATAGCATTGCCAGATTTTAAAATGTAAAAGATGGATCTGTGAAATGAATTTAAATTTTAACAATAATAAAAAATATAACCAATTATAACCATATCAATTATAACCATAATTTTAAAAATCAATAAATTATTATATAACAAATTTCTCTTCAATAGAAGAAAGTATAAATATTTCTGAAATAAAAAATATGGATAAATATTTAAATTTGAATTCAAATATATTTGTTTGATTTCATCAATACATAGCACATCAAATGCTAATTGTAAAAACAATGAAAATTTAAGTATTTTTTGCATTTTTTAAAGAAACAGTTTATAGTAAATTTGTATAATAAAAATTTATATTAATAATTCAAATTTAATATTAGAAAGGCAAAATTTATTAATATTTTGCTTTTTAAGAGTTGATATGAAAATTATATTTTATATCTAATACATAAGTATTTATCAAAAAACTCAAAGAAGTAGAATATTTTAAAAAATATATAAAAAATTATGAATATAGCATATAAAAAATAATTCATTTATAACTGACTAATATTAAAAAGAATTTTGAATTAGTAGAATATATTATTCAGAACTATTAAAGAGAAATCCAAATGCAATAATTAATATTCAAAAATTTTAGTTTTTATACATAAAAAACTATTTCTAATTTTTAAATTTTATTCTTAATATGATTAAAGTGCAATACTCAAAATATTTCAAAACAATGATTTAATTGATTAATCCAATAGATTAATTTATTATATCTTATCAGATATTTATAAATTTTTAAGATATTTAGGTATTAATTTTTTATTGCATGGAAACAGAAAATACTTAAAAGAAATTAATATTATTAATAAAGACAACTTAATTGTCTTAAAAAAAAATTTCCATTGATAAAAAAGCTATAATAATTATTAAATTGCTAACATGCTAACATAATTATTAAATTGCTTTATACAAAATTAAATTTTTATGAACATATGATATGACTATAGAAATTGAGTTTAAATGTAAATTTTTCAAATAATATAATATATATTATATTATATTATATTATATTATTTTAAATATTTTGTATTTTTTGGAATGTAATGTGCACTTCATTTAAATATTTTGCATAAATGCATAAATATATTTATTGTTACAATGATCTAATGATTATTAATAAAAGTAGAAACAAATATATCAAAAAATAATATAAAAATTTATAATAATAAAAACTTATAATAATATTGAAAAATTTATGAATTATCAATTTATTTTTGAAGATGTTTAAATAATATCATTTAATATATAATTTTTAAATTATTTGAAATTTTTAAATATATTAAATATTGAAAATTATAAAAATCAAATATATTATTTCAAATAAATTTTCATATAAATTCTGTAGGATAAATAATAAATTTATTAATTTTTCCACTGAAAAAATAATTATTATAACTAAATGTATTAGAATTTTGAAAAATAACACATTTAGAAATACAATAAAAAATTTTATTTATTTATAAATATATATATTTATAAATATTATTCAAATAACAATATATATTGCATTATTGCATTCACTGTATTCAAATGCAAATTTATATTTTTTCTTTTATTAATAGAAAACGAAAAACTAGAGTGAAATGATAAATAAATTTATAAGAATTTAATTAAATTTCAAAGATAAAAATCAATAGAAACTATTTTTTTTAATATATTATCCTATTTATTATATAAAATTTTTTAAAGTTTTTATAATGTTTTCTACCAAGTATCTTAAAAAAGTATGAAGAATAAAAAAACTATATATCAAAATTTTATGTAGGATGATTATAGGAGATATCATATGTATCTTTTTTAAATAATCAATTTTAAAAGAAAATTTTTCAAACTTTCTCAAATTGATCAAAAATTGATAAAAAATATTAAAAGCATTTTTAAATTTTTTTAGTAAATTAATCATTTATTATCATATATGATTTCCATTAATATCTATATTATCATTTATTTTACCACTATCTGCTACTTTGAATTTAT